GATGTTGTCTTCAGTACCCAACTGGTACACCTGGAACATATGGGGGTTCTAGTTTTGGATTTTCGAGAAACCTCCAAACGGATTTCCATATTGATAGACAACCTTACACTCCCCCTAGCAATACATAAGTGTTCCTCTTTTCCCACATCACACCATTATTTGTTGTCATTCAGTAATGACAGTCATTCTGAATGGGATGAGATAGAGTCTCAAAGCAGTTTGGCTTTTCCCTGCAGGGCTAGGAATGTTGACCTTGGGGCTAGAGAGATGACTCAAAGGTTAAGAGCAGCTGTGAGAGACAGGACCTGGTTGTCTGGGATGGAGCAGAGCTTTCCCTTGACCTGGCCCTCAGAGTCCCCCAATGGAGACTTCATTTGCCTTTTGCCTTGACTCAAAAACACTCCCCCTGTGCTCAGTCCTCCTCCAGGGCACCAGCAGTGCACAGAAATCTCTTAACACTGTTGGCTGCTGCTGCTCATTGCTCTGTGCTAGATGGACTTCACTGAGATGAGGGTTCTTTCCCTCTGGCCCAGGCTGTGGTAAGGAGTATGTCTGGCCTCAAGACTGGCACATTTGGGGCCCTTCTACTATGGCATGCTCCTTCTATCTGCAGTTGCAGAATTGGAGGCTCTTTATGTGGGCTTGCATCCCAGCAAGCTTGTACCAACCGACACTATTCCAGTAGCAAGCACAGGCTCTCAGAAACAAGACCTTCAGCCTCCAACATCAGCTGGCTCATATGCTGCTGTTTGCTTCACAGCAGAAACACAGTTCCATCCCTGCACATGGGAAGGCGTGAGACCTCCTGAACTGATAACTCGACATGCAAATACCCAGCAACTCTTCAACAGGAGTTCCTTCCCTCATGATTTGTTCCCAGTTTTCAGGAGCAGTTACTATAGAATCTAGGGATGGCTGGTGACCAGGTGCCTATCAATAGGAAGGTTTTTTTGACACTTGAAAAGCAGAGCTGTTCTGATCCCTACCTTGGAAAACCACAGTAAGAGGTCTGCAGAGAAAATTGTGATCGCAACCCTGCCACCAATGAACTAATTCTCAATTGGCAAACTGCAGAGCGGGTCCTGTCTCATTTCACCAAATGGAGTTAGTTTTGTGCTATCCAGAAGATTGTTGCAAGGATTAAAATGGAGCTATAGATTCACAAGCCGTGTGTGTGTTTGCGTGTGTGTGCACCTGCATGCATTTGTTGTGTGTTGTATGTGCACATGCAATGTACATGTGTGCTGTGCATCTCAATATCAAGGCCAGATGTCAACCTTAAGTTTCATCCTCCGGGAACAATCCACCTTGTTTGTTTGAGGCAGAGTCTCTCACTGAGACCTGGGAATTGCATATTAGGCTAGACCCAGTGGCCAGCAAGCCCCAGAGGTCTGTCTGTCTCTGCCTTCCAGTGCTGGATTAGAAATAAATGTGTGCCGCTGCACCCAGCTTCGTATGTGGGTTCAGGTCTTCTTGCTTGCAACGCAAGCACCTGAGCTCGCCCCTCAGTTCCCTTTACTATACCTTTGAAGAGTTTTAGTAATATAAAGCCTTCCTCTAAGAAAAGTCCGGGGCATTAGGATTGAAGCCCCCGTTTGCCATCTACTCATCTATGCAGGGGAGAACAGAATACAGAAGAAAGCATCGGAAGAAGACATAGGTCTTCACCCCGCCTATCAGCCTGTGTGACAAATGTTAACGAAAGCCTCAACCCTGGGAAAGCCCTTGCCTTAAGTAACTATAGCAGCCTCCTTGTGGCTCACTGAGCTCAGTTTGACTGGGTGGTGGACTGTGACCCAGCTTAGTGCTCCCCCTGCTGGTGAACTATTAGATTCATTCACGTAGTGCTGCTGGCACAGACCAGAGAACCTAAACATGAGCAGAGCTTACTTCTCTCTCCCTGCTGTCCCTCTCAGCAAAGACCAAAGCCTACCCCAAGCTTGTCGAAAGGCTTCACATCCTCTTACCACCCATCCCTCCCAGCTGAAAGCTTTGCTTAGCCGAGCTAAGCAAGTGACCAGCCTCAGCCATATCAAAACGGCTGCTGCTTTTGTAAGTAAATTAAGAACAAAACAACAACAGCAACAAAAGCCACAGCCATCCTCCTTTGTAGATTGTGTGTGGCTGCTTTGTGCTGCTGCAGCACAGAGGTGAACAGGTGCTTCAGGTGTGGTGTGGTGTGGTGTGGCCTGTAAAGTACAAGATTCTGCTATCTGGCTCTGTGCACAGACTGCTTACCTGGGGACTGGGGGTGTAAACCAGTGATAGACCGCTTACATGGCATGTGCAAGACCCTGGGAATAATATTTTACTCACTCACACACACACACACACACACACACACACACACACACACATGCATGCATGCACACATGCAAATATCAGTTTTACCTACTTTTTTTCAAAGATACTTGTTTTTTTTTCCATATAATGTACTCTGATTATGGTTTTCCCTCCCTCAGCTCCTTCCAGTTCCTCCCCACCTCCCAGCCCATCCTGATCCATGCTCTTTCTTCTTAGAAAACAAACGGGCATCTAAGGAATAATAATAAACTAAGAGAAAACAAAAACAAATCAGAATAGGACAAAACAAACAAACAGGAAAAAAAGAGCCAAAGAAAAAGCATAAGGAACACGTATAGACACAGACATACACACACATTTGCATACCCAGGAATCCTATAAAACATAAAATTGGAAGCCATAATATATACACAAAGGACCTGTAAAGTTTTAAATAATCCTTGATATGGCATTATGAGACAAAGAACCTCCAAAGACGCCATTGAGTTTATTTTCTGTTGGCCATCTACTTCTGGGCATAGGGCCTACCCTTAAGAGTGAGACTTCCTGGGAGAAAAATGCCTTTGCCAGTGGTTATCAAATGGAGCCAGCTTCCGGGTTAGGGATGAGAACATGTGTGATGAGAACATGTGTCTACTTATCTCAGCTCTAGGACCCATCTAGTGTAGACCTGTGGGGCCCTGTGCGCGCTGCCTCAATCTGAGTGGACCCTGCTGTGTTTAAAAGGCCTTGTTACCTTGTTGTTCTCCATCCCTTCTGGCTCTTAAGCTTTTCCACCTCTTCTTCTGCAGAGTTCCCTGAGCCCTGAGGGGAGGATTTGATGTACCCATTTCTTGTAACACAATGCTTTAGTGTCAGCACTTTCTGCCATTGTAACTAAGACAAATTTGTTTCACTCAAGCAGGTCTTATTCTTCTTTTATTGAAGAAATTAATCATTGGTTTATGTTTTGGTATCTAAGAGCAATGGGGATAACCCTTAATGATTATGAAAATAGCTCTTAATTTATATTTTAGCTTCTAAGAATAATGATTGTACAATCTCCCCATTTGTAGGAGAATATATACTTTTTTTAAGGCCAAGGGACTGGAGGGATGGCTCAGTGGTTAACAGTGCTTGCTGCTCTTTAACAGACCAAGTCATACCCACACTGAGAGGTTTACAGTCACCTGTAACTCCAGCTCCAGAGACCCAACACATGTTTCTAACCTCCAAGGGCATCTATCCACACAGGTAGCATACATTCACAAAAGCATACATGCATACACACATAAATAAATTAAGTAAATAAATAATTTTTTTCAGTTCAAGCATAAAAATTTGCTGGCAATATGGAGCATAGTTCATGTTGGACAACACTGCATGAAAATGCAATCAGCCAGATATAGGTAATGGAAATTTTGAGAGTAAACTACTGAATTTCTTCAATGAAGGAATAAACAAAGAAGAAAGGGTAGAATAGTGAGCTCTGGGAAGTGGGAGGGATTGAAAGGATATTGGAGCAAATACGTCATTCAAAGGAACCCAGATACTTGGAAACAGCTTGAGAGTCTGAGCGCAGGTGGAGGCTTAGATACTGTGGTATTGTCTACACTTCTTTACTTATGGTAATGGCATTGCACGAATTATCTATCTGTCTGTCTGTCTGTCTGTCTGTCTGTCTGTCTGTCTGTCTGTTTGTCTGTCTGTCTGTCTATGATCTATTTGTATATTGTGGAATATTCCTTTATACTGTGTGAATATATGTCACTGTGATCAGTTAAATAAAGAAGCTGACTAGCCAATAGCTGGACAGGTAAAAGTTAGGTTGGACTTGCCAACAAAAAGAGAGTGAAAAGAAGAAGGGAAGGGATTGCTGAGAGCCTGGTTAACGTGTGATCTCATTGGACCTTTGTGAGCAACAAGCTGTAAACTCATACAGCCGTCACCCAGAAATAAGAAACCAAAATTAGGGATTGTTTCCAGTGTATACATAGGCTTCGAGATGGCTTAGAAGCAACAGTCAACACATGGGTAAAGGAATTGCTAATGATGCTTGTAGGATGTGTAGGTGCCAGGAGCATGGGAGGCCAGTGCAAGGGACAGGTGTCTCCATCTTACTGAATATGGTCTCTCAACTACAACCCAAGACTCCTGCTGGATCTGGGAAAGCTCTGAGTTTGAGGACATTCCTTCAGCTCAATCTATAGTAAATTTGATATTACCATTATGTTCAGCAATGCAAAAACAAAAAACGAAACTGTAAGCCAATGGATTGATTTAAAGTTGTAAGATTTGAACCAGGCATGTCTTTAATCCCAGCTCCCAGAAGGCCAAGCAGAGCTCTGTGGGTTTGAAGCCAGCCAAAGTTACACAGTGAGACCCTGTCTCAATTAAAAGTAAATAAAATACAATAAATAAATAAATAAATAAATAAAGACTTGGATAGACAAAATTTCACCTCATCTGTCAGTCACCACCAGTAATAAAATGAATAAAGTTGAACCTCATCTCATAGACTGCCTCCCTTCAAATTCCTGAGTCTCGTTTTGGGGCACGGGAATGCTGTTAGAGAGAAAGGACTAAAAGTGTGCTATCTATACTCTGAGAAAGGAGAAGGGGGACTAGAACAAGGCCAGTGTTGGTGAGACTTGGGATCAGTGTTCCACCTAAGCTGTGTGTGTCAAGCCTGTGACATCTTCTCTGCTTCCCCACAGAATGACATCACTCCCTTACATGTTGCCTCGAAACGAGGGAACGCGAATATGGTGAAGCTATTGCTCGACCGGGGTGCGAAGATCGATGCCAAGACCAGGGTAAGTATCCTGCCTGGCACAGGCCGGTGTGACTCTTCCAGAGGTGGAAGTCCTCACCTGGTGCCTGCACCGTGGGAAATGCTGTATTCTTTCTGTTTGATTTGTCGTTTTCTCTTGGGAAATGATTCCCATTTCATATAATGTTAGTGTGTGTTCAAATGGCCTCTGGCTTTAACTGAAGAGCAAAGGCTCGAGTCTATTGGTTTCCCTGAGTTAAATCTTCTGGAATTACTTGACACTCAAAGTTGAACTACTGGGTCAGTTTGATGTGAAATCTGAAAAGGCTGAAAATTTTATTTTCACATGTGTGGGAATTTAGATTCTGTGGAAACATAAAATGGTATAGCATGGGTTTCCCTCCAGAGATTAAAAACAGGATGGCCACTTCTAGGTACACAGTGAGAGGAATTAAAAGGCATTTCCACTCTTGTGTTTGCTGAACTAGGCTTATAATTGTTAAAATCTAGAGGTAACCCAAATGTCTATTGGATAGACCAAGGTGGCTCAGTCAGTAAAACATAAGGACCCAAGTTGGGATCCCCAGCACCCAAACCTGAGCCTGCTGTCACATGCCTGTAATCCCCGTGCTATAGAGACAGAGACAGGGGGCTTCTGGGAGTTTGCTGCTCTGCCAGTCTAGAAAATTGATGACCTTCAGGTTCAATGAGAAATCTTGTCTCATAAAAAAAGGTTGAGAGTGACTGTTGGAGACACAGTGTCAGCCTTTGGCTTCCATAAACAAGTACACATGACATAGGTATGCCCCCGTACACACACACACACACAGAGAGAGAGAGAGAGACAGAGACAGAGACAGAGACAGAGAGACAGAGAGAGACAGAGACAGAGAGACAGAGACAGAGCGAGAGACAGAGAGACAGAGACACAGAGCAATTAACTACAACATGGATGAACCTTAAGCCATACCATTGAATAAAATAAACCAGTCACTAAAGGACAAATACATCTGATTCTAAGCTACTGACAGGTCATGTAGCTCCATGATGAAGTGTGTCCTTGGCCTACATATACCATAGAAAGAGAAAGTTGAGTGGCAGTTGCCAGGGCAAAAAGGGAAATGAAGTGTTGCTTGGGAATGAAGTGTCAGATTAAGAAAAAAAATCAGGATAACAAAAGAGCCAATGACCCATTAGACCACTGTGCAAATATAGTTTTTAATACAGTTTTAAAGATGGCTTTGAGGGTGTAATGTATTTATCTTATCACAGTTAAAATTTTTATTAAAATGTATCTAAATGTCTAGATGGATGAATATGATGTATTGTTTTCATGGAAATGGGAGTTGTGGTGGAGACAGCCCAGCCCTTGTGTATGCTGTCATGTGCTGTTGGGGGTCTAACACACCGTGTGTGCGCCTGTCAGCTTAAGCCATGACTTAGGTAGCTAACCAGCCTTTCTCTTTAAACTTTTGTCATCTAAAAAAATTCATTAAAAGAATGAGCCAGGTGTGGTAGTATATGCCTTAATCCCAGCACGAGGGAGGCAGAGGCAGGCAGATCTTTGTGAGTTCAAGACCAGCCTGGTCTACAAAGCAAGTTACAAGGAGAAACCTTATCAGGGGGAAAAAATTAAAAGAACTAAATACCCACAGTGACCAAGATGTTTATCAACTGCACCAGCCTGACATAGGCCAGAAATCCCATTAACGAGAGGGGGAAGTGGACAGGAACTCCCACCTCTAACCAAGAGGCCATCTCCAATTGTCACAGCTTCTAAAGGAAAGATAAGTTTTCTCCAAAGGAGTCTCACTGAGCATATAAACCACAATTAACAGCAGACCACATGACAGCCATCAGGCCAACACAAATGAACTCAATGGCACTTTGTAGACCTTCTGTCTCATATCACTTTGTGAGGGCATTTTCTGTCTTACTGGTCTCCTGTTTGCATATTATGGTTTCCGATTTTGTGTTTTTATGGGTTTGTGCTTGTGGGTTTCTCATGCTTTTCCTTTGCTATTTTGCTTTGTTTTAGTTTTGTTATTATTATTTGTTTGTTTGCCTGGTTGTTTTCTAAAGGGAGTGAGAACGAAGGCCTGGAGTTGGATGGGTGAGGATGTGGGGAGGATCTCGGAGAAGTTAGGGGAAGGAAAACCATGAAAAGAATTTACTGTATGGGGGGGGGGGAAACTAACCAAATAAAGTAAAAGTCTTACCTTTAAAAAACATAAGTCACATATAAAGACTTCTCTTTTTCCATGTTTCACGTGTTTATTGCAAAATCTGGACCAGAGACAGTCTAATAAAGCAGTGTCCTTTGTCTACGGGCTTCCTACCTTGTCATCATATCCTAGGCCCCACTTGCAAGAATCCTAATCTCCATGTATCTAAACCCAGCCTGGCAGATTAACTGTATTCCTGCAGTGCTTTGATCTACTGATTTACTTACTGTTATTGACATTTATTCACTCAAATCATAAGTGACCACTGAATGTCTGCTCAACTCAGAGAAGGGGTGAGAGAGAAAAATAGACAATGCTTTTCCTAAGACCTTGAGGCCATGGGCTGTTTGTTTTCTTTACTCTATTCCTAATCCAGCCCAGCCTGGGTGTTTAGTAGACTGACATATTGCCCAATGAACCTGGAAGGGATAGCTGTACCCTACAAGAAACAATCTTACTAGAGAGAGAGAAATGAAGAATCGTAAAGGGCGCCCCCTGCAGGACCATCTCAGTAGAGAGCAATTGCGTTTCTACATTTCAATAAGAAGTTGTCAGTATGTAAAGAAAGCTGGAGCCACTACTGTCAACCACAGTTCTTCTGCTAAGCACGAGCAGTGGAGAGGAGTTGCAGAGGACAATGGAGGGGGATTGATTGCTCTTGCCATTTTGTCCCAAGGAGGTGCGGGATCATTTATGAGTACCAGGAATCTGTGTGATGGGGAAATGAGTGCAGGAGACACGTGGAAGAGAAACGTGAATGTGCCTGGCCCTCCTCTGGGACTTTAGTTGATTGGAAATGACCTTATTTCTCTCTCCTTTGATGCAGTCATCGCTCACAAAAAGAATAAATTACTTTGCATTTTGCATCCTATACAAACCCATAGGGAGTTCAGACAGAGAGGCAATCAGTTTTCTCATCTCTGGCCAAACACCAGACAAGAAGCAGCTACACGGAGGAAGAGTTCATTTAGGTTTGAGGGGACACAACCTCAAGCTCCCTATGATGGCAGGGAGAGCATGACTGTGAGGGCTCCATTGTGTAAGGGGATGTGTGCAACCAGGACACATCCCCTTCCAATCTTGAAAGCACAGGAAGCTGAGTGTGGACAGGAAGTGGTACAGTACCCCGAAACTTCAAGGCCTCTCCCAGTGACCCACTTCCTTCTGCGAGGCTTCTCCTCCTCCTAAAGGTTCCCCACCTTTCCAAACAGCACCACTTGCTGGGGACCAAGTATTGGAACACATGAGCCCCTGGGGACATTGCACATTCAAACCACAATGTGGGATGCATCGTGTCATGTCACGGGAGGGACCTGGAGACAAACATCAGAGCTCTGATGAACGGCAGCAACTGCACTAATTGGCATGGGGACAGCGTATTAGGCAACTTATTTCTATGCCCCTGGCTTACTGTCCATAAAGGAGAAACCCTCGTTACTACTGTCCAGTGTTAACTTAGATGTGCATGCCTGTGCTTCAGTGGAGAGGACACATTGACATGTAGGAGGAGCCAGAGCAGTGGTTTTCAACCTTCCTAATGACACAACCTTTTAATACATTCTTCATGTTGAGGTGACCCCCAACCATAAAATTATCTCATTGCTACTTCCTAACTATAATTTTGCTACTGTAATTTACATCGTAATGAAAATATCTGCTACTCAGAAGATCTGACTTGTGACTCCCCCCCCCAAAAGGGGTCGCAACCCACTGGTTGAAAATAACTGAACTAGAGAGATCTGAATAGGAAGGTCCATCTTACTTTCCACTATTGAGTGGGTTTGGGGACAGCTCTAGTTCTGTTCAGACCAAATTCCTTGCCTAAGAATGGAAGAAAGTGAAGTCTAACCCCCAAAACTTGTGAGCTATGTGATGTTCTCCGCATCAATGCTTCCTGATGGTGATCTTCCGACACCCTCATCCCTTCCCAGTACAGACAGTAAATTTCCTCGTCATCTCAAACACTTCTCAGCAAGAAGGGCTGTGGATATTGTAACTTTAATAATTAGGGCTACCGGTGTTGACTCAGCGGGTAGAGTGCTTATCACACAAGTGTGAGGACCAGAGTTCAGATCCCCAGTCCCCATGTAAATTCCAGGTGGACATAGCAGCTCGCCTGTAAAGTCAGAACATGAAGGCAGAGTCAGGGAACCTTAGGGCATGATAGCTAATTATACTCACTGAAGTGGTGAGCTCTGGGTTCAACTGAGAAACCCTGCTTCAATGCATAAGATGAAGAGTGATCTAAGAACACACTCAGCATCAACCTCTCCCTCCACAACATAAAACACATGTATCCCCACACACGTGAGCCCCCTACCCACCCACAGGCACACGAAGAGTAGTTAGGGCTAAATTATAATTCAATGATAGAACTGTTGCCCAGCATATGGAAGGCTGTGGATTCAATCCCCAGCACTGTAAGGATTTTAGAAGAAGAAGGAGGAGGAGAAGGAGGAGGAGGAGGAGGAGGAAGAGGAGGAGGAGGAGAAGGAGGAGGAGGAGAAGGAAGAGAAGGAGAAAAGGAGAAGAAGGAGAAAGAAGAAGAAGAAGAAGAAGAAGAAGAAGAAGAAGAAGAAGAAGAAGAAGAAGAAGAAGAAGAAGAAGAAGAAGAAGAAGAAGAAGAAGCTTACTAAAAGATTCAAGATGCTTACATATCAATCTTCCTGGAGTTTCGGAGGATCTGATGTCCCGGAGTCTTTAGGTCTCTGTTGATTCCCAAATCTCCAGTGCTGTCATGCTAAACTGATGTCACCTGGCTTGTGGGCTCATTCTATCTTTTGCCAATGTGACTTATCATGGCATGCAGAGTGCTTGT